GCAAAATTTAGCACATTGAAGAGATGCTTCTCAGATAATGTTGACCTTCTCCTTTGGGATCATCAGGACAGAAATAGAAGTGTGAATCAAGTACTCAACCTGGTACGTTGACATTGATAATGATTGTAGATGGAAGATACAAAGTCAGATTTACTGTAGTCAAGATGCTATGAGAAAACTTTCAAGCAATGTACGTTTAATAATCTTGAAGTTTTATGGCTTGGCTGCATAAGTATTTACTTTGTGTGATATTTGACTCAATTCACTGTATGACAAACTTGGCTCTCTAATGCTTATGTTCTTGAAAGATGTAAAGTGACCAGATGCAAATATGAAATCTCATCTCTGTTAGAATCCATATTTTGTGCTGGTATGCAAAATTTTCTGATAACAAGACTCGATTTCTTTAACAGCTAGATCATCGTGTACTTGGCACTACGACTTTAGCAGCAATTGGTGGCTTATGGTTCTCAACTCAGAAACTGGACCTGCATCCTGCCATACGCTCCTTGATCGGAAGTATAGTAGGCGTGGCTGCTCTCCAGGTGTGTCCTACTAAGTTCTAGCAATTCTTGTTGGTGAGCTTTATCGCAATTGTCCGGCCAGTTCCTTGGCATGATTGCCTTTGTCAGACACGCATGAATGATTTTACATTTATCTGTTAAATAAATTTTGCTCTGTCGGCAGGTCACTTTGGGGGTATCAACTCTTCTGTCATAAGTACCTGTGTCACTTGGCACAGCTCATCAAGCTGGAGTTCTAACGCTTCTAAGTCTGATGCTTCTGCTCAATCACACCGTACGTCGGCCTTCGGTGTTATTTTTGAAGACTCTGCCGCCTGTTGTAAAAATAGTCACCTAGACGATCATCAGGATAATGTGTATTAGACGGTGGATTATTTTCCGCTTCCCATATTTAGATTACTTAAAAAGAAACTGCAAATGAGAGTTCTGAATGTAGCTGTTGTATGGAAGAAGATTTGGTGCAAAATGGTGTCTTTCTTGCATCTGCAATTTTTGTCATAAGTGGGAGTGCTCATTATTTTAGAACCATTGTGGTCCTTCATGCAATGTTTTTCATTCTTTTTTCCACTTAGGAGTATTCCAACCTTTCGATTTTGTTCCAAGGATACGCATCAAAGTAACACACAGTGATCAATCACGGGCAATGTTTTCAAACTCGGACCGGACCGGCCGGTTCAATCGCAAACTGGTCATGTGTCCGGTCCGGTTCATAGTCTTTGTTGACCTGGACCAAGAACTGGTCAAAATTGTAAAAACAATAAAACTCGTTAAAACCGGTTCAACCCGTGAACCGCGGTTCTCCAACTAAGATTGTGATGAGATTAGGAATTAGGACCAACGAGGATTGATCGTAAGCATTTTCTTTTGAGAGTAACAACTAAGATTGTGATGTGAGTGCTGTGTTGGTTGCTGGTGGACCATTTGTCAAAACACTTATAAGGGTCCATGATCTCGAAAGTATGCTTTGATATGTGAGGATAATCGGATCAAACGCATTCAAACTTTTTTTCAAAAAAAAACATTAAGACCCTATTTGATAAATCAATTTAACACTTAAATTTAATATTTTATAACAAAAATTAAACATCTGAATTAATTAACTGACACTGAATTTTCTAGGCAAAAATTGCTTCCAAAATTAAGCAATAAATTATTCACGTATCACTGAATGTGATATGCACATAAATGTATTATATTTAAATACTTAACAATTTAATAAATTAATGAATTCAAATTTCAGATTTCAGTTTTATCAAATGTATCCAATGCTAAGTAATAATAGACTATTTTACTCTGTTGCTGTTTTTCTTCCCCCTTTTTTTTGGTCACACCGTGTTACAATTTTCACAAAAGCGAAAGGACTCGCACTGGACTTGCCGCACCTGCGTCATAGTCTAATTCTGCTTTTTGGACTATTTTTGGGTTATGAGAATTAATTCTATCGTCGGGCTAATTCCTCGCTGCTCCATAGGCAGCAAGCCTGCTTCATTCTTTGCCCTTGTGGACCCTCTGTCTATTGCTCGAAATTTCCTTGTCGCGGTTCAGAAAACGGTCATGTAATGTAAGATAAAAAGCCATAAAGGCTTAAACCTTCGCCACGAGACTCTTTTGTAACTCAAAACACCAAACTCCTTAAAACCAATGTTTTCAAACTCGGACCGGACCGACCGGTTCGACCGCAAACTGGTTATGTGTCCGGTTCGATTCATAGTCTTTGTTGACCTGAACCAAGAACCGGTCAAAATTGTAAAAACCGTAAAACCCGTTAAAATCGGTTCAACCCATGAACCGCGGTTCTCCAATTTTTGACCGAATTTTCAATTTTGACCGCAATTATCTAAAGTCTAAACCTAATCTTCACTTATTCAGTTCACTCTTCAGTCTTCAGCCTTCACGACACTCTTCGCTTCGCCGCTTCAACTCAATTCATTTGTTTCGATTCTCATTTCTCAGCTGCTACCCATCAATTCATCAACAGCTTTAGGGACATCACGATTCTCAGCTTTAGGTTTAGGGACATCAATTCACCAATGCATCTCAATTCATCTCAGCTGTTACCTTCACGATTCTCAATTCATCTCAACTGCTACCTTCACGATTCTCATTTAAGATTTACTATTGCACTCCTGAAAGGCCTCAAGCTTATACTAGGTTTTTTTTCCTTTTTTTTCCTTTCGTTGTTGATTATTGGGTTTTGGTTGCCCTTCCGTCCCCTCGGCCCTCTGTATAATGTATATGGGCCTGTTTGGCACCCGAGTTTTTTACCAAGTTTTTTAACTACTAGTTTTTTAACAACTTCTGCTACAGGAACCCCAAAAAACTTTTCAAAATTTTTTACCTACACACTTCAAAAATCTATACACAAAAAATTTCTCAAACACTTTTCTTCCTCCCTCACCCAACCCACCACACCAGACACCGCCTCCACCACCTCTCCCAGCGCCGGTCACTTATTCCGGCGCTGCCGATAACCTCAAAAAAAAATTTTGAATTTTTGAGTCCCTCACCCTAAAAAATTTATTATATATATTATATATTTATTTAAACATATTATAAATATTTTATTTTATTTAAAATATATTTTTATATATTTATATAAATATTATATACCATATAAATTAATATTAATATAAATATGTAATTATACATTTATATAAATATTATATATTATATATTTAATATATATAATACATATTATATATATTACACATTTATGTATATATATTTATGTATATTTATATACAATTATATTATGTATTATGTATAATATAATACATTTATACATATATATAATACATACTATTAACACATAATATTAACACACAATATTAATTATAAATTTATACATAATACTAATACATTTATACATTTATATTAATTATATTAATACATTTATACATAATATTAACACACAATATTAATTATACATTTATACATAATACTAATATATTTATACATTTATATTAATTATATTAATACATTTATACATAATATTATATATTTATATATTTAGAATATATTAATTTATATATTTATATAATATTCATTTATAATAATATACAATTATTACATTTGTAAATATATTTATATTATGTATTATATATAATATAATACATTTATATATTTTTATATACCTATATAAATATATTTATTTATAAATGTATTATAAATGCATAAATATATATAAATATTTAAACAATAAAAATTATAAATTATAAACAATATTAATTATACATTTATACATAATATGAATACATTTATACATTTATATTAATTATATTAATACAGTTATACATAATCATCATATATATTTATAAATTATAATTTATACATTTATATAATATTTATTTATAATATATACATTTATATTAATTATACATTTATACATTTATAAATATATGTATATTATGTATTATATATAATATAATACATTTATATATTTTTATATAAGTATGTAAATATATTTATATATAAATATTTATAAATGTATTATAAATGCATAAATGCATATAAATATTTAAACAATAAAAATTATAAGTTATAAACAATATTAATTATACATTTATACATAATATTAATACATTTATACATTTATATTAATTATATTAATACATTTATACATAATCATCATATACATTTATAAATTATAATTTATACATTTATATAATATTCATTTATAATTTATACATTTATATTAATTATACATTTATACATTTATAAATATATGTATATTACGTATTATATATAATATAATATATTTTTATATTTTTATATAAATATATTTATTTCTAAATATTTATAAATGTATTATAAATGCATAAATGTTGAAAAATATAAAAATATAAAAATTATAAATTATAAAATAATCAAAAATATGTTTTAAAAATACCTCTAAAAATAATCCAAAAAACGTCTACAGTAACATTTCAAAAACTTCTACAAAAAAGTTTTTCACCTTACAAAAACTTCTACAAAATTTTTTCAAAAACTTCTACAGTGCACTACAGTAAAGTTTTAGACAAACTCCCAAAAAACTCAAGTTCCAAACAGGCCCTATATACTGCCGTAATTTTTGGGCATATGATCCTTATTAACTTGTCATTGCAGCAGTAGCTAAATGATTATATTATAAGCTGATCAGCCTAAATCAATTTTTTTTTTGGTTTGTCCTCAAATTAAATAAGCTGTCAGTTTTAGGGATGTGCAAACTAGAAAAATTTCGATTTCGAAACCGATTTTGAATTGAATTTGGAATTTCGATAATTCAGAACTGAAATCGGTAATTCCGTTTTCGAATTCGTCAAATTCGGATCAAATTCAAAAATAAAAATTTTGAAATCGGAGTTACCGATTTCGAATTGGATATTCGATTTAGGAAATTCGAATTCGATTTCTAATAATAATATTTAAATATAATTATAATATAATATAGTTTTTAACATAATAAGTTTACTAATTGAAATCGAGCTTCCGAGTTCCGACAAATTGAGCTTCCCTATCTGCAAAAGCCTAAATTTCTCTTAACTCACCTTGTGCTTCCGCCGCGCCGCCTCTTCCTTCATCGCCTCTTCGTCACTGTCTTCGTCACCGACGAAGCTTACTCCCTCTCACTCTCTTTCACCGACTCAGTTTACTCTCTCACCGACACCCCTACTCACCGCTTCCATCGCCTCTTTCACCTCAGAGATTTCACTCGTGATTTGCATCACACCTGAAATTGAACACCAGTTCTTCAAGTCCGACAGAGACAGACACCATCAGCCTTCATATTCAAGACTGTCGGACAATTTGAGGTATGCCAGTGCTTTTACTCACCTTTTTCAGCTATGTTTCTTACGCCAGTGATTTTTCATCAATAATTTCAATGGCATGCTCAATCCTTATTTTTTCTTAGTTAAATGCGTTCTTTGGGTACTAATACGCACAAAAAATGGTTTTGAGTGTTAATTAACAAATTGTATTATTTGACCTTTTTAATTTCTTTGTTTCTTCTTCTCCCTGACATACACGGAGCAACAGAGGTGCAACAGAGGTGCTGAACTTTTGTTTTTCAACTCCTGTTTTTCACTTATGTGTTTTCCAAGCACATCTTGAAAACCATCCAGCAGGCAGACGCCATTGTACATTTTTGTGCACTGTATGTGTTTTCTGTTCATGCTTCTGGCTGCGAACATTAAATTTGTCAAAAGACAGTTTGCCCGTTTCTAAATTTATATATGACAATGTAAATTAGGGTGTTTGCCTATTTTTAAGTTGATTAGTCGTGGAATATGTGAATGTGCTGAAGGTGCTATGACTTTCAGTTACAATTGGCATTTGTTTGTGCTCTTTCTGAGATCTCTGAAGCTCAGCACTCAGCAGGGTTGAACTTTAATAGATAGAAGATAATGATTAGATGTGTTCATGACATGTTCGTGGATTAAATTGGTGTTAATGATTCTGGTTAACAACCTGTTTTGGTTGGAGGAGGAACGGCTTTCAAATCTCCTCTTAAATAGAGGCGGAAAAAAAAAAGAATTCGGGGAATTCGGAATCCACCGTATTCCGAATTCAATTCGGTATCGAATTCGAAATCAAATTCGGTCGGGAAAACTGAAGCCAAAATTTCGAAAATTTCCGATTTCAAACTTCCGAATTACCGCTTTCGATTTCGATGCACACCCCTAGTCAGTCTGTTTGTCCTGCAATTTTCCTTTTTTTTGACTCGTTAGATAATTTGGTTGCCCTGTTGTTGAGTTGCGCCGCTGGTGAAACCGGAACTTAATTGGGAGGTAGACTCCCTATTAATGTTTTTGGCCGACAATCAAAAATGTCAATTAATTGGTGGTCAGGTACCAGATGTTGGTACTAAACTGCTAAATTCCCAGTATTTCACTGCTAAATTCCACCAACGGCCTCAGTAAAAGTCTTTTTCTTTTGGTATTATCTGAAAACTGGATAAAAAAAAAGAAAAAAAAAAGTCCTCGGTCTTTCAGTTGGACAGCCTATCATATGGTCCCTTCTGTCACTTAATTCAGTAATTGATAACCAAGTCATTGTGGAGTTGTATTATAATTTGATATTGAAGCATGTAGAAAGTTTCCCTTGCTTCAAGTACTTCCATTTGGCGAATTGGGATGAATTTTTGACACGTTTGGTTACTTGGTGAAGTGAAGTGAGAATTTGACACAATCTTCCAAAGCATGTTTTTCAGTTGTTGAACAAATCTTCTTGTTTGTCTTGTCGGGTTAATATAACAGGTTAACATAGATATAATAACCATGACTCTTTCAATAATAATCTCATACTTCCATTTATCATAGTTGCCAGTCTTTCAATCTTTAGCTGTTATAGGTAAACACTTAATCCTATAATTAGAAAACTTTATTAACCGAAGTGCAGTGACACAAAGATTCTATGATGAAACAGAATTTGATTTTCTGTACAGCAAGGTTCTTTTCTTACTTTAGCCAAAGCTTTTTCTGCTTCTGTCTATAAGACAAAATGTTTATACATATCTGGTTTCTGTCCTTTTGGTGTATATTCTTCAAATCATCTTTTCTACAATCCACCATTAGTGTATTTCACAGAAGCTCAAATGCTACTCCACTTATTAAATAATATAAGTCCCTTGCTAGGTTTACATGCTACTAAATCATTCCGTGACCTCCTGTTTCTGAAAGGTAAACAACCAAATCTATTGTTGACTAATTAGAGCTCATTAAATTATGCACAACTTACAGTTGGAAAACTATTATGTCTACATATTAAGACTGCTGTCTAATGCCAAACATGTACAAGGAATCTGAATACTAGAGAAGCAACCAAAAGCTACCAGGTGTAACCAAGAATGTTAGAATATAAATTCTAGCCTAGGTATAAAAATTCTGAGTTACATGAATATATTTTTGACATCACTAAGAACAATTCTAACCGTGGATGATTCTAACTATGTTCTTGAGGCTAATGATTCTGCAATTGGCCTTAGTCTGACAACCCTAAAGAAACTGTCCTGGTCAAACCTACTTAAGTACTTGTAAACAGATTGCAAATATAGAATTAAAGACTATCCCAGAATGAATGATGAAGCTTTGTTGTCAAGATGACTTATCATGATGACGACTTATAAATTGGACTTGTTTGGACCTTTTGATTGTTTTCTAGACTTGTATTGTTTTTTGTTAATTCTAATATTAGACAATTGGACATGTAAGTTGGATAACTATGTTAATTGTGTGTGTTAATTGTTGGATATTGCTCTTATGTTAATTGTAGTTTAGCATTTATATCTTATTCTGTGCATAGATGTGTGTGTGTGTGTGTTTCCTGAGCTAGGAAACTTGCATTTAGATTTAATCTAATGCTGCTGTTCATGGAAAGGCATGTAGATAGTACACTAACAGGAGATGCAAATTAGGATATATATATTATTTATTTATTTATTGAACCAGGGTTGAACCGGTCCGACCGGTTGAATCTCGACCCTTTCACTTCACCAGTTCGCTTGACGGTCCGGGTTTTAAAACATTGATCACGGGACTTGCTGGTAATTATCAGGTTACGAAACTAGTCGGATCACTCGTAGGGGGCTTGCAGTGATTCTCATTTGATCATACGTAAATGTTTATTTTTGGCATCAAAATGTAGCATAGTTGGTAATATGTCAGGATTAGAAATAGCTTGAAGTTTTATATCAAATGAAATTTATCAGTCTGTCTTCAAAGTAAGATAAAAAAAAATTTGGGTGTAAAAAATTATAAGTTCTCATCAATTGTGTGGGTTAATTCGTAGGAAATGATATGAAACCTTAGAGGTTATAAAATAGGGATAATTTCAGAAGTTTCTGACACTTTCACTGACATCCCCTGAGGTTCTCAAAATTTCACTTACCTCCCTTGCTTTTGATTTTGTGGTAACAATCCAGTCCAAATCAGATTAAAATATTATTTTCATGTGTGAGAAGGTATTTTTATTCCATAGCTACCCTTTGCAGAAGTTGTATTAGTAGAAGATTCAAAGAAGAATAAATGATTTGGACTAATTAGTAAAGTTGAGGGGGGGTAAGTGCAATACAAAAAATTGCATGCACCAGATGTGCCATGCAACAGTTATTTGGCAGATTTTGCAACGGCTAGCTGCAAATTGCAACGGCCAGAAGGTTTGCTGTTTCAGTAGCAATAGCATATAAAGCAAAGCAACTTAACTACCTCTGAGGTTTCAAGCTATTAACATTCTTTGCTACTAATTTGGAGTGATAACAAGTGCATTTGCTGTGCTACAATTAGAGCTCTGAGTAAAAAGTTTTAGCTGCAACCATGGCCTCTTCAAGCCATAGGGGAGAATCATGGAATTCACCTACATCTTTCTCCATTAAAAACAGGTTTTGCCGCTGTAATCGCAAAGCAACCGTAATGATATCAGAGAGTGAAAGAAATCCAGACAAGTTGTATTTCTATTGAGAAATTTCCAACTTTGTGATGAATTTTAAAAAAATTCTACAAAAGGGGTGATTTTGGGTTTAATTTCCGTCAGGGGGGTCTTCGCATTTGTGAATTTCACAAATGCGAGCTTACAAGAGCTCGCATTCGTGGAATGCGAGCTCTGGTTATTGAGCTCGCATTCCACGAATGCGAGCTCTTCTCAATTTTTTTTTTCCTTTTTTAAGAGCTAGGGAATTATTTCTAGGAAGCAAATGCGAGCTCTTATCTTTTTTATTTTGGTATTTTTTGAGAGGTAGGGAATTATTTGCAGAAAGCTTCTAATTTTTGTTTTAAAAAATGTTGCAAATATTTAAAATTTTGCAAATAGCTCGCATTTGTTAAATTTGACCTGCAAAAATTGTATTTAACTTTTTTGTTAGATTTCGCATTTATAAGTATGACTTGTAGAAAATTAGATTCAAATTTAGATGTATTAGGGTTTTAAAAATATTATATAAGTGATAAAAATTTTATAAATTGTAAAAATAAAATCAAACTGCTTGGATAATTAAATGTTATATTTGCATAAGAAATAATACAATAATCATAATAATGATAATACAATAATATTGGTGTAATAAAACTGCCATTAATTTAAATATTTACTTATAATGCCCAAAGAGCCTAATTACCAATTTTTTCTTCTCGCGCTCAAATATAACATTAACCCGCATGCGAGCTAACCTTGAAATAGAAAAAACACAGAATCCCGCTTGCGGGTTTCAGGAGTATTCGGATATTCTCATATGCACCTATGCAAATCGAACCAACCGGATATCTTATCCGTATCCCATTTTTTTAAATAAAAATCTTATAAATTTGAAAAATAAAATCAAATTTAGATGTATTAGGGTTTTAAAAATATTATATAAGTGATAAAAATTTTATAAATTGTAAAAATAAAATCAAACTGCTTGGATAATTAAATGTTATATTTGCATAAGAAATAATACAATAATCATAATAATGATAATACAATAATATTGGTGTAATAAAACTGCCATTAATTTAAATATTTACTTATAATGCCCAAAGAGCCTAATTACCAATTTTTTCTTCTCGCGCTCAAATATAACATTAACCCGCATGCGAGCTAACCTTGAAATAGAAAAAACACAGAATCCCGCTTGCGGGTTTCAACGTTATTCTGCGCTTCGTGTGTTTGCTTTTGTTTTGCTTTTGTCTTTTTTTTTCGAAATGGAGGGTTGGCGGTGGAGCTTAGTACGAGCTCGCATTCTGAGAATTGAGTTAAGTTAAGACATAATGATTAACTCAAAAATCCACTTAACAACCAAAATGAATGTTCAATATCAACATTTAGACAAAAGACAGAGGTGGAATTGAGCAACACTAGCAAAGGTGTCATGTAGCTTTTCGCAGCACCAGGAAAGGAAAGTTAAAGGAACAAATAAATTTGTACCTTTCCTGTTGTGTTTGCAACTATTTCAAAATAACAATTAATTCTTCACTTTGTTGCCGCTACTCCAGTGCATATTAGGACCACTGGTTTGATCACAATTTCCTTTCCATTTTTGTTCTTGTTATTTCCTCTGTTTCTTTTCCTATATCCAGAATGTCGTATAAGACCACATATAAGTGATCTTATATGTGATCTTGTTATTTCCTCTTGTCAAATCACACCAGGCACAAAAAATGGCGCCAATATTGCAGCTCAATTGGCGCCTTACTCCCAAAATGACTGGATTAATTCATGTATCAGGAATCAAGTTTCTATTATTGTTGTTAAGCTTAATTAATCATATCAGATGCCATTATGTAACTAAACGGTAGTAATTAACCCCAACTACTTGGGATATATCTGTAATTTTGGCCCTGATGACGTCAGAAAAGGGGCCCAATTTTTTATCAAGGGAGGTAAGTGAAATTTTGAGAACCTCAGGGGATGTCAGTGAAAGTGTCAGAAACCTCAGGGGAGGTTTCTGAAATTATCCCTATAAAATAATAATTTGTTTTTTTTAATAATTAGAAATGAACATTGAATTGGGTGGTAAAATAGATTTAACATTCTCGGGTACCATGTTTTCGGATCCGATCTGAAAATCCCTAATGACCATTGTAGCCCTCAAATTATACGTCCGTTGATTCAAACTTAGGCTTCATTTGAATCGAGAGAAAAGGATAGAAAAGAAAGTATCCTGAAGGAAAGTATTACCATTTCATTTCTTTAGAAGTTTTAACAAGGACGGAAGAGAAACGAAATGAACGGATGGGATTTCCTCTAATTGGTGAAAATTTTTCCACCCAAAATTGGAAGGAAAATGACGGAAACTTGTTGGGCGCCAAAGGATATTTTTAATATGACAATTTTATCCTTTAAAAGTTGATACAAAACGTCGTTATTCCCGATATATCCTAGAGTTGATTTGTAAAAGCATCAATGCAAAGCTTTCTGAGTTCTATACTTTCTATACTTCCAACTAGTTCTTTGATTTTTTTTTTGTTCTTCATCCACAATTCAATAATAAAAGATATTTCTTTAACTCAATCTCTTCTTTCTTTCTTTGCTCAATCTTCTCTAGAAAATTGTGAAAAAGTATTTTTTTGTGTATAGATTGTTATTGTTTATAAAAAGTTCTAAATTTTTTGTTCATTTTCTATCTCATAAAATTCTTGTCAACGAACTCTTGATTTTTATAGTATTGATTTGTGATTATATCTTGCATGGTTATGGTACGTGTAAGCTCCAGCGGTAATACATGAATATGAAATTTGAATGCATACAATATGTTTGTTAATTTGCCTACGTAAGCTTCAAATTTAAAAATGATCCAGCAAGAACTTTCATTTCTCATGGATTCCAGTTTTCGTGTTATAAATCAACAATCCAAACAGCTTCACAAAAACTGATGCCTCTAGGAGTTTTATCATCCATGGGATCAGCCCTGACTCTGATCATCTGATCACAGACGATTAGCTTTTTGTAAATAGGGCTAATAATTATGAAACGTATAAAAAATGTGCTCTACATCATTTGAGAACTCAACTTCTTATTATTCATCTTGTGAGAATGCACATGCAATTGTTTTGGAATTTTATCCTGTCCAAATATTCTATTTATTGGAACAAGAAAGCTAATATTTGGACTTTAATTTAAAAATTGAAAGGGAAAATACGTAAAGTTATATTCTCATAAAAGTTTTTCTTTCCATATCTCTCCAACTCTCAAATAAGAGAAAGACATTTCTTTTCTTTTCTTTCATTGAACTCCCAAACCAAAAATGCATCTTTTCCCTTCTTTTCCTTTCTTTCCTAAGTTATCTTTTACTTTTCTTTCCTTTCTTTTCTTTTCTCGTCCTTCATAAACTCCCTAACTGGTTGTTGACAACTTATAAAAGAGTATATAATAATTGTTTCTGTTTCAGTGTGATTTTGCAATCTATCACTTTTAGACAATTGTACACATGCATATGTATATGTGGGTCTCTGTTGCAATAGCATTTGAGTATACAGCATAAAACTGAAATACCGCATTCACCTAATAAGAAAATATATATATATATATATATACACATGCATATACTAATGAAAAAAAGCTGCATAACTTGTTGGAACAACAAATCAAGGTGTTCACACCTTTCAGTTATGAACTTAATTTTAACTCATCGGCTTATAGCCCAATTTTCTCTATTACTACAATCTACATATCTCTAACTAAAATGTGTGTGCCATGATACCATCTTGCTTTACATTGAAAAGATGATTAGTTTAAAAGCATATGATCAAGTGTGACTAATGATTGAGGAGAAACGTAAATGTAGAATGTGTTGTGGAATATTTTACCATGCTGCTGGAAGCAAGAGCGGAGATCCGATTGACCCAGGCATCGACGGCCGACTTCCAGCCGTCACTGAGCTTTTGGTCGGTGGAAGATGGGGCCCATTCCCAGAGGAGACGACGAGTTTTAACAGCAGAGACGACGTGAGAGACGTCCGAAGGGTTTCTGAAGGAGTGTTTTTCGTCTGAAGGAGTGTTTTTCGTCTGAGACATCAATGCGAGCGCCCGCATTGATGTCTCAGCTACTGCGGTCACTTCTCAGGGAATACATCCCAGACGAAAAACACTACTTCAGAACCCTTCGGACGTCTCTCACGTCGTCTCTGCCGTTAAAACTCGTCCTCTCCTCTGGGAATGGGCCCCATCTTCCACCGACCAAAAGCTCAGTGACGGCTGGAAGTCGGCCGTCGATGCCTGGGTCAATCGGGTCTCCGCCCTTGCTTCCAGTAGCATGGTAAAATATTCTAGAGCACATTCTACATTTACTTTTCTCCTCAATTATTAGTCACACTTGATCATATGCTTTTAAACTAATCATCTTTTCAATGTAAAGCAAGATGGTATCATGGCGCACGCATTTTAGTTAGAGATATGTAAACTCAGAAAGTATGAGTCAAAATGGTGTGGAACTGAGTCAGGGACTCTCAAATTAGCAAAAAACCAAACCCATCTCAACTTCACAGAACATCAGTTTAGAACCCTTATAATTTGTGAGAAGTTTAACTCCGTGTTGATTGTAGTAATAGAGAAAATTGGGCTATAAGCCGATGAGTTAAAATTAAGTTCATAACTGAAAGGTGTGAACACCTTGATTTGTGGTTCCAACAAGTTATACAGCTTTTTTTTCATTAGTATATGCATGTATATATATACATATATTTTTTCTTATTAGGTGAATGCGGTATTTCAGTTTTATGCTGTATACTCAAATGCTATTGCAACAGAGACCCACATATACATATGCATGTGTACAATTGTCTAAAAGTGATAGATTGCAAAATCACACTTAAACAGAAACAATTATTATATACTATTTTAGAAGTTGTCAAGAGCCACGGGGAACTCATTTCAGGAGTAATTTGAATGAATATTATACAACCAGATAAATCCTGGGCTGGAATATGCTTGCTAGGATTGACAAGTCAGGAATGCAGTTCAGAGCGTTTTATGGCTTCCTACTCAGAATGGTTCAACAAGATCTTGTCTCATATGCAGGTATTTGAGCTTTTCCCAGTGACATATCAGACATTTTTTGCCTATTAGAGATATCTTTTCTCGTGCTTGATGTTAATCTGTCATTTAAACGTTTTCTGGAAATCACTGGACTCTTTGAGCAACCAAAATCTAAGTGGTGTTGTTGTCATCTGTAGCTTTCCATCTTTATGATTTAAAATGCTATTAATCAAATTCATCAATTTTGCCTTTCCTTTTCCTCAATTGCAATTATTATTCCTGCATTTTTACCTCGACTAATGTCACAGTTCATGTATTCCTGTTGCTCCCAACTGAATGTCGTACTTTGATGGCGGCAAGTATGTTAAGAAAGACTTGAGGGAAGGGAGAAACATTTATGACCACCATATTGGTCGAATGACAAACACATAGGTAAAGTTTTGGCGTATAAAGAACAAAGGGATGTAGGATTATATGGTTTCTAAGAAACGTGAACATAATTTTGTGATTGACTGGCGATAGAGGGAGTTTTTTGGTTCAATCATACCAATATTAAACACTACTATGTCCGGTATTTACCTCATAGCTGTAAAAATTTTGAAATCCTGCTGTTACTATGGGGATTCACATCTTGCTATCTTTCCTTGCTTTCTCATAACCTTAACAGTGCTCTTTAGTTGAAACTCTATTAAATAATTTACTGATAAAGATATTCTTTCTTTCTTTTTTCTTTTTTCCCTTTTGTCACTATGAGCAGCCTCCTTAAGATTCCCATTTCGTGAGGGTCGCTTCTTGTGCCTCAATGTCTGATCTGTTCACAAGGTTTGTTTTGTACTTTACAGCATTAAAAAAACAATTCTCCATGACACGAGTTTAGGGATTATTTCTGGATTTCCTTTTTGATGTCTTATTTTTAATCTTAAGAGCATTTCCTGCATTTCTGCAAAGGGAATCCAAAGAAAGATGTTGCAGAGAAGAACTGTGCAGTCTATCTTTTCTTTCTTGATGCTGAGTGGGTTTAGGAGTTAACTTGTTGAGATGTTATTCAATAGCATGCTTGCTCTTTCAAGCTTAAATTTGTTAGTAGAAGTGCTTGGCTTGTCATGAAATGCGTTCTTGCAGTATCCATAGCAGTGCTGCTCATGTTTTGACTGACTTAGGTTGGGTGGATTTCCTAATGCGAAGAAAGATGGGAATTCGCAAGCCTCTAAGCTTGTTCAACCAGTACTGAATCTATTAAATGAGGATAGCTCTGATGCCTTCTGGGTAGGTATAAATCTGTAGGAAATTCTTTTTTTTTTTGGGAAATTTTTTTCCTCACGAATTGATCTATTTAACTCCTCAACTGATTGATTTCATTCTACCACATTTGATGCATAAAATATTTATTCCTCTTGCAAGTTTTGCATTTCTTTATGATTTCCCATTTAAATATAAAATGTGGTAGTATTCTAGAAGAATAGTTTGTTTGGATAGGAAGATTTGCAAAAAAAATTTCAAATTTTTTTCTACTTATATCATAAACACAATTTCCAACCACCTTTTTATCTCACATACATCACATCACAAAAAGTGTTACAACAATTATTGCAAATAACCTCCTATCCAAACAAACTCAAGCATATCCTACTTCTCACAATATCTTTTGAATGAAATTAATCCTGGAGAAAACGATATAGTTATTAAATTTTTTTGACTTTACCAGGATTCTGGTGTCTCGTTCTTCATCAACCTACATTCCAAAGTCAATAATTGCGTACTGCTTTTTGATTTGTATGTTTTCATAGTAGTAGAGTTATGCAGAATTTCACAGTTGTTTGTCCTTTTCAATCTGTAAGTTCTTTTTTTTTTTTTTCATGATTGGCTTGTGCAGGAAGAAGCTATCTCCTTATTGTGCACACTTACAAATGTTTTTCCAGCTTCTGTCAGCCGACACTACGATAGTGTGAGTAGTTCTTTCTGTATGAAATGATTTTTTCATGCATCTTGTTGATAATCTATTCTCAAATGCCAATGGGTGTTTGCTGTCCAGATTTGAGTTATTTTGAGAATCACCAAAAACTTTTTCTTGTTTACTTACAATTATGTATAGGTTAAGAAATGAAGGTGGCCACTATTTACATGCTAGAAATGTAGAACCACATACTTATCTATGGTCCTTTTGCCAGCACTGTTCTTTGCAGAACATGAATCTGAGTGGAGAACTATATAGTAGAATTGGCCTGCAAAGAAAGATGTATAGTTTGAAATGCTACATCTCATCCTGGGTAATGTTTGCTTGATGTTTAGGGTTCCTAAACTTGCGTTGTTAGTCAGGTAGGGATTTCCGGGGTAACCTTTTATTGTTTTTCTTTCTCCTGGTGAGGTATTGACAATGCAACAGATTGCATGTAAATTCATGTTGGAAATTGCTAATATAAACTTGGGAAAAAGCATTGTTAATCTTTTGAGTGGTGAGAGGATTGGGCTTTAGAAATTTTAAAAATTACTATGTGCAGGTTGGTTATTATTGCAATAGAGTCCTTTTCCTTTCTTCAATCTTAGTCTGGTGTTTGATCTTAGATTCACATTTCATTAGCAGATATACAAAGGGAAGGCTGTTCTGATGCTTATATTCTGGGTTTGCTCATCCTTTTAAGTTTCTTTATCCAGAACTAACATCCCCTAACAAAAGGAAAAAGGAACTGACAGGACCAAGTTGCTCTACTAGACATATTTAACTGGTTTTGCTGGCTATTATTATGAATGATTTACTGATATACAGTGAATTTGCAGGTTGAATCCTCTATATTTTCAAAATTTGTGTCAGAGAATTGTCCTGTCAGTATATTCAAGGTGATAGAATTACTTGATGCATTTATTTTAGGTTGGCTTGTTATAGCCAATCCAAAAAGAGTTAATTTGTCTTGGTCTGCAGAAACTTGCTCATGGCTTGGCCTTACTTCCAAAATCCCGAGGAGATGAGGATAGCTGGTCACTGATGATGCAGAAGGTCTTAATATTCATAAATAATCAACTATATGTTATGTTCCAAGGTCTAGAAGAAGGTAACAGTTGCTTTAATTTGGAGATGGAACTGCTATTTTGATTGAATATTTAGGTGCTGATGTTTTATTCACCTGTTGCAGAGGCCAGAAGTAGTGAGGTAGTGAGGTTGTTACTTCCTCCAGGGAAGGACCCCCCACCTCCCTTAGGAGGGCTAACGGCATCAGCAAAAAACTCAGATCAGGCAATGAAGAGGCCTGAACAAGTATTAGTTTCAAGAGTCTCTACCCTGATGACCTGCTGTTGCACAATGCTTACTGATGCTTATCCCGTTCAGGTGATATGCCTCGTTTAGTTTATGATATCAAATATGTGTAAATGACCGAATTGATTTCTTGTATTTTTTAAGGGAGATACATGAACTCGTTACCTTGAGCATAAGTTTGTCTGGTGCTCTATGCAGGTTTCTGTGCCTGTTTGTTCACTGGTAGCTCTTGTTAAGAGAGTGCTGATGGTCGATGGCTCATTCTCACAATCCTCCCCTTTTATGACTGCCATGAGACAGGACTTGATTTGTTTAGAACTTCCTGAATTGCATAGGTGCAGCCTGGAGCTTCTGAGTTCTATTGTAAAGGGACTTCGCAGGTGACTGATTTATCTTCTTCTTGTTCTCTTTTAAATGTAATCACTCTATTTATATCTTATTATAAAGCTTGTCCTTGAGTTCTTTGTCCGTTGGATATAAAGCTATGCTCTTTAGTTTGATTTCCTCTTCCTTCTTTAGTTTACATTTCAAAAATGTTAGTTGTAACATGATTTTGTATGCGCTTTTGCAGTCAGTTGTTCCACATGTGGCAGATATCACACGACTGCTAACAGAATATTTTAGGACATGCGCCCTGCCAGAGTTAAGGATTAAGGTTTACTCAATTATGAAAGTTTTGCTGATGTCCATGGGGATTGGTAAGTAATTGTTTAACATATCTTTTCACCTCTTTGCTTATGTTGATATTGGGTGCCTGGAAATTGATGTTAGTTCCTGCGCTTAGTTCATCTGTCATGCGTTTGATCCCTTATGGATGCATGTGCAAGAATATATGCTTGTAAGCATGAGATACTCTTCTCCTCCTCCTCTTGCTCATTTCTGTCATATTGGGGGTTCAAAAATAGAAGCACATGGAGCATAAGTTGCTCATTATTTTGAAACCTCTAAAAAGGCTGTAGCATTGGAACTCGTGAATCTTGTTAAAATTTGCTTTATAAAACTGTCATTTGAATATCCCGACATTCTACAAGTCTACATGTTCTATGGAAGATCATTGCAATTAAGGTGATTTTCCATAAGTATGCTGCTTGTCAAGAGCCCTGAAAAAGAAATACTAAAACAAAATGAACCTCAATACTTTGCATGAGTCCAGAGCTACTGTCAGTTTGGCCTTGATGAGTTTATTAGGCAAAACTTGTGATTTATGATATTAACACCGGGATTGATCTTGTACGTACTGGACATAAAGGACTATCAAAGGTTTATAAGTGCATTTGGTTGGCTGAGGTTAATATTCTTCAAAAGGCATGATACTTTTCAGGTTTGAGTTCTCTAATTTTTTTCACTGGTCAATATCAGATACATGAGATTTTTCGACATCTCAGGTTTTTATGGGATACCATTTGCATGTTGTCTATTGTTTTGCAACTTCTTTTGTGAGAACTAGATAATTGTCCATACTCGTGTTTTTATTTGAAGACATTTTGAACATGATGGTAATTTTCTACTTGATCTACTACCGTATCTAAGTTCGAACATGCTGCTTTACTCATATGTAGATGGTTATAACGAGGTATCAGGTTGATGCTCAGAATTTTAATCAAACTACTTTGACTTGAGGACATTTGGTGTCATAACCAGGCACTAATCTTTTGTTATCTAACCTCGTTTGTTTCTTTTTGTGATTTAGAAGATGTTTTCATATATATCTTTTGCCAAATTTGTTAACAAAAAAATCGTGCACCCATTGTGCATCCTATACCAATTTTGTGTGACAATTTTTTTTCCTTACTTGCCTTTCTCTTAATCCATATTTGATATAGGTTTGACTTTGTAGCTTGCTACAACCGATTTTTTTTTAGCATCTAACTTTTTTTTTTGGAGGGATTTTAGCATCTAACTCAGTGGCAATAGTTTTGGTGCTTACCAAATTTGAAGTGGTGTTTTTTAGAGTAGTGCTGTTGATACTTAAAAAAAAAAAAAATCTTCTTGTAATTCGTTCAATTCAATAACCCTTTACTACCTCTTTCCTTCTTTCGCAAACAAATACAGATGCACACAGAGATCTGTCACGTGGAATTGTTTCTCCTAATGGTGGTGGTTCTTGACAGGGATTGCAATATATCTGATCCAGGAAGTTATAAGCAATGCATTCCTTGATCTGGATCCTCATGGTCGTGAGAGTGGTGGCTCGTACTCTGCTGCACGCTCAAAGGCCTTACAGGATGCACTGCAACAATGTTTTCAGAGAAAAAGGAAGCACCCAACTTCAGCTGAATCTGTTGGAGACCAATCTGCTAAAGGTGGTCTGGAAGTGGAGACATCCCAAAATATGACTGCAATATCTGTCAGGATTGCTGCATTAGAGGCATTAGAAGCTCTTTTGAGTGTGGTATGTTCCTTCTTTATCTAATTAAATGCATTGAGTTACCATCATTTATATGCTTATGAGAATACTACTTTAGCTATTGACTTAGCAAAAGGTGTGCTCACAAAGTACCTCAAGTTGGTCTTTCATTCTGCTTCTTTCTACTGTCTCCGTGGTTATTTTGGAATAAGAATTCACTTTGGAAGCCTTAGAGAGGTGCTTCATTTTTGGTCTTGTACCGTGGTAGATCCTGTTAATTGTGCTTTTTATGCAGCCAGTATTAAGCTCCTTGAGCTGAAACTTCATGTAGACGGTGTAATGGTCTATCTAGCTGTACTTATCTGGAGTTATATGCAGTATGCTTAGTTAGTCTTGCCGACACATCTAATCTGCTTTAGTGTTAAATATCATCCATTATGGCTGTGATGTTCTAGTTGGTGCTAAGTTGACCCAGACTTCAGGCATTTTCAAGCCTTATTTAGGAGGCCTATGCACTGAATTTGCCCCTTGCACGTTTAATTATGTTTCCATATTGTCACTTAATGGAATAATTAGCCTGATTTTCTGAGATGGTAGGCATCTACTTTATTGGATGTACTTGTCAGTATTTCAGTATTCAAATGAATGCAGCTCCTATTTTTCTCTAATTGTGATTCCAATAAACTGTATATGCTTTCAGATATTTTTTGTCAATAGGCTGGGGCCATGAGATCAGATGGTTGGCGATCAAATATTGATCGTCTCCTTATAACAGTTGCAACAAATGCTTGCAAAGTGGGATGGGCTGACAACAATAGTACTGTAGTTTATGGTGAAGCTACTCCTTTATGGGCAGACTTCCAACTTGCTGCTTTACGCACACTTTTGGCATCCCTTCTTTCTCCTGGTCGTGTTCGCCCTTCACATCTTGCTCAGGGTCTCGAACTTTTTCGTAGAGGTAAGTGCTGTCCAGCCTCCAGTGTCATCTTCTTCCCATGCAATCCATGGGCTGTCTCCACGTTGTACATTTGAATTGGAGGCACGAACAATTTTATATAATTAAGATAGATGAGGGGATACCAAGTCAAGTTGGTAAACATGAAATAGAGGTTGCTTGATTTTGTCCTTTATGTAACTAACATGAGCGGTATAATTGGAGTACTTGTTAAAATGCTTGTCAAATGAGTGATGTATGCCTGCAATTTGTCGTGGTAATTTCGTTTGACAGTAAGAGGTCTTCAATATGTAAGATATGGAAGGAATAACCGTACTTATAAGAGGTTCTTCTGCGGGGCTACTTGAACCTTTTTTTTTTTTTTTTTAAGTTAATGGAATTGAAAAAGTCTACTTTTCTCGGCTTCTTGCTCATAGATTTATGCGTTCTGGTGACTGCAGGCAGTCGAGAATCTGGAACAAAAATTTCTGAGTATTGCTGTCATGCTCTTTTGACCTTGGAAGTGCTCATACATCTTAGGGCCCTTCCATTTATAGATCTTCAATCGGCAGTTGACCATTATGGTAGTGCTAGCCTCAACTTTCCAGACGTACACTTCGCAGATCACAGAAAGAGCACTTCATTTCATTTTAGCACACTAGGAAAGGAGCCTTCTCAGCCAGAGTCTGGGGATGATGATCTTTACGAAAGGTGGCTGGCAAATGGTGATGAAACAGATGTCAATGACCTTGGAAAATATACCAGCAGTGATAAAGAACCCCCTGGGACCTCTACCCATCCAGCATTAGAAAAGCTTCCTCGTTGTGGTTCTCCTTCTGAAAGAAATAAGCGTGAAGGTGGTGAATTTGGGGAATCAATGGCTGTTGCAGCTGACAAAGTACCAGTAGATGGGGATGAGATAATGGTTGACTTGCCGACTCCGGAAAGCTACAAGCAGACAGAGGAACGCGATCATATTGAAGGGCGAATATTGGTTGCTACAGCTGGTGGTCATACTGCCACCGAATCAGATGGACTGGTTTCAGGCAGTGCTACATCAGCTGATGGTCATACAGATTTTGTTGTAGCAGCAGGAAAAGATGTCTCTTCTTCAGCAAGTAAAAGAAACACTATGGTTACTGAGCAGAGTGTCACGCCAACATCTGCGAAGGATGTGGTGACAAGCCAAGATCATGAATACACTAGGATTGTGGAAAAGATTTCTGCTACAATATCAAACACAGGAAGGGGCGCTGGATTGGTGGTAGAAATCAATGACGACACTTCAATGGATTCACTTCCTGATATTGTGGATGGTGATCCCGACTCTGATTGAGTGAAAATGTATGTGTATGATTGGGCAGTATTCGATTAGATTTACTAATGAATGTGTTGAAATTCATTGTATATTGAATTTGAAGTTCTTCGTAAGCATGTTAGAAAAATTAGGGGCTTTTTGATCCTCGTAAAAGGTTTTACGCAATTTTGAGATGAATGAATGCAGTAGATGATAGAAGGCTTCTTTTATCACTTAGCAATGTTGTAAAAGCAGTTCGAAACATATAATCCCAAACTAATCTCATTCTTCAAAACTATTCCCAAACTAATGCACTTACAAAATATATTCCCTTGTTAACTTACTTGTTATCATGTGGACTTCGAGTATGGAAAGTATTCACATTTTCAGAGGTACAATCCATATCAATAGATTTTTAATAACTTTTCAATAGTTCAAATGTTGCTACTTATGTACAATCTTAAAGATAAATAAAAATATTTTTCTACCTATTATTGAGTTAATTAGTATTTCTCACATTAGATTGGCTCATATAGCATGTTAATTTTGATATTTACACTGACCTAGTTATATTTTTTCTCCTATTCTTTTGGAATGTTTACTTGTACTTCAAACAATTTGAGTTTTTGCAAATTTCTTAAAATTTACAAAGTTAGGAGACTACCATATATAAAATTGCAAGTAACAAGTAAAAAAGAAAGGAACTTGTGATATAATAATCAAGAATAAAGCGAGGGAGGAATAACGGCAGCAAAAAAAAAGGTTCTTCAGCAAAATCATTGCAATTTGGAGGGTGATCAGCAATTTTAAAACACTAATTATGGATCCACTTTCCTTTTTTAAATTTGTTTACAGAATGTCCTTAATGCACTAAATAAAGAAAAACTATGTAATATATAAACAAAAGATTTACAAGTTATTTTTTTCCTTTGATGGGGAGTCGACATGGCAATAACTAGATTAATAAGGGAATAAAAATTGAAAGAGCATTACTTTTGGATTATTTTTCGAAAAGTAGATTAATTTAGCCAAAAACTCATCCAAGGGTCATAGTTTGGAGCAAATACATACCATAACATGATTCTTAGTTCTCCTCATCACATATATTGCTACAGAATTCCACTCGCCAAGGGAACAACCAACAAGCGGCCACGGAAACACGGCGATGAGATGCATTCAGACGCGCTCCAATAGAAGTGACCGGGTGCGCAATTTGCTAATGTGTTTTTGTTTTTAATCCATTAGCGAAGTGGTGGTGTCAACGATAAGCTTGTGTTGACACTTGACACTGAAACTCAAACTTCTGAAAATCCTAAAGTGAAAATTTGTCATGCATTTTATGTCTAAATCTCCACTTCTTTCCTGATACTGGGCATCCTAGAAACGCCATTCTAGTCCTGCATTCTCGTTTGGGCTACAACCCACATTGTCTGACTTTATTATTGTTTTAACAGTAATTCCCTTATCTAATACTGTGAATTCTATTTCAGTGTAGTCTGCTCGAAATGCTACTTATTAGTTAATACTACTAGGTATTTTCTTTCATACGTTAGCTAGCTCTTATTTTCTTCTTTATCGGGCAGAAATATTGGGATCTCTTAGGTTTTACCAAAGCCAAGCAAGAGAATCTAGAGGATTGGTCAAAAATGAAATACTACTACTAAGACAAAAAACCAAAACAAAAAATTAGTAGTGGAGTACGTAGGTGGAGAGTTGAGTGAGAGTCAATCAAGTCTTCTCATACTTGCTGGAAAAAGTTATGCTTCATTTGACTCGAAAGATGGAAAGCAACTAACTTTAGTTCTCTGACCGGATGCAAATATGAAATCTCATCTATGTTAGAATCCATATTTTGTGCTGGTATGCAAAATTTTCTAATAACAAGACTCGATTTCTTTAACAGCTAGATCATCGTATACTTGCCGCTACGACTTTAGAAGCAATTGGTGGCTTATGGTTCTCAACTCGGAAACTGGAACTTCATCCTGCCATATGCTCCTTGATTGGAAGTATAGTAGGCATGGCTGCTCTCCAGGTGTGTCCTACTAAGTTCTAGCAATCCTCGTTGGCGAGCTTTATCACAATTGTCTGGCCAGTTCCTTGGCATGATTGCCTTTGTCAGACATGCATGAATGATTTTACATTTATGTGTTTAATAAAACTTGCTCCATCGGCAGGTCACTTTGAGAGTATCAACTCTTCTGTCATTCGTATCTGTGTCATCTGGCAGTTGGCATAGCTCATCAAGCTGGAGCTCTAACGCTTCTAAGTATGATGCTTCTGCTCAATCACACCGTACGTCGGCCGATGTCACTTCTAAAGACTCTGTCTCCTGTTGTAAAAACAGTCACCTAGATGATCATCAGGACAATGTGTAGTAGACGGCGGATTATTTTCAGCTTCCGATATTTAGATTACTTAAAAAAAACTGCAAATGAGAGTTCTGAATGTAGCTGTTGTATGGAAGAAAGGTTTGGTGCAAGCCTCTCTTGCAGCTGCAATTTCTGTCAATCAGTGGGAATGCTCATTATTTTAGAACCATTGTGGTATTTTCTTTTTCCTTTTTTCTGTCACTTTTAGGAATTCCAACCTTTTGACTAGACTAACCTCTTAAAGCTGCGCAGAGTTTTTGCCCCAAAAATACGTAGCAATGTAGAGTTTTACGCCAAAAATATGTAGCCATGTAGTACACGAGGATTAATAATGGGATCTGCCGATAATTATCAGATTACGAAATTAATCGGACTACCCGTGGAGGATTTGTAGTGATTTTCATTTGATGATACACAAATGTTTATTTTGGCATCCCAATGTAACATAGTTGGTAATAAGCCAGGAATTAGAAATAGCTCGAAGTTTTATATCCAATGAAATTTACAAGTTTGTCTTCAAAGTGAGATAAAAAAAAAATTGGGATGAAAAAAACTATAAGTTCTCATCAATTATGTGGATTAATTCTTACGGAATGATATGAAACCTTAAAGGCTATAAGATAATAATTGAAAAAAAAACTCAAAAGAAAATAAGAAAGCGAAAAGTTAAATCATCTATAAATTTAACATTGAATTGGGTGGTAAAATCAATTTAACATTCTCAGGTACCACGTTCCTTGGTGGGTAGTGCACCCGTCTGATTAAGTGATAATCCTGTCCCTATCCGCCTCCCGTAGGTTCAGTTGGATCTCCCCCGTAGTTAGATTAGGATATAAATACAAAAATGATGATTGACAAAAAAAAATAAAAAAATAAAAAATTTAAAAAATTTAAAAAAATGCAGGGTTTATCAATTATACCCTCAACTCTGTCATCTCTCTTCAATGGCGGCCAGTAGTCACATTCAAGGTATGTACGACATCGCATTGAAGCCTTAGTTGCTGCGGTCACTTCTCAGGGAATACATCCCGGACGAAAAGCACCCATCAGAAACCTTTCGGACCTCTCTCACGTTGTTTCTGCCATCAAAACTCATTGTCTCCTCTCGGAATGAGCCCTATCTTCCACCGACCAAAAGCTCATTGACAGGTGGAACAGACTGATGCCCCAAATTCACCACCTTCATGCTCATTTCTTTCGGAAGGAGAATCACCATGAGGAAGCTTTTCAAATGCTGGATGGGTAGAGGTCCCAGAGGATTCTTTATCACTGCTGGTATATTTTCCAAGGTCATTGACATCTGTTTCATCACCATTTGCCAACCACCATTCGTACAGATCATCATCCCCAGACTCTGGCTGAGAAGGCTCCTTTCCTAGTGTGCTAAAATGAAATGAAGTGTTCTTTCTGTGATCTGCGAAGTGTACGTCTGGAAGGTTGAGGCTAGCACTACCATAATGGCCAACTGCCGATTGACGATCTATAAATGGAAGGGCCCTAGGATGTATGAGAACTTCCAAGGTCAAAAGAGCATGACAGCAATATTCAGAAATTTTTGTTCCAGATTCTCGACTGCCTGCAGTCACCAGATCACATAAATCTATGAGCAAGAAGCTGAGAAAAGTAGACTTTTTCAATTCTATTAACTTAAAAAAAAAAAAGAAAAAAGGTTCAAGTAGCTCTGCAGAAGAACCTCTTACAAATACCGTTATTCCTTCCATATCTTACAGGACTTACATACATAAGAAAAGTAGGTTTTACATACATAAGGAAATTACGCCATAACTAGCCAAGATAGTAGTACTCAATGATCCAAAAGAAGCACTTGCATGAGTAGTTAGAGATATTATAGCCTAAGGAGCTTTTATTTACTATTTTCTTGTATAAGTTTAGCATAGTTTTATCTCTTTTAATTCAGTGATCGTCTAAATAACAGAAAAGTTTTAGTAGTGCCCATAATTGTACTATCTTTCTCGTGGGATCGACTCGATATATGCCCTAACTACTAGTTGACCTGTATACTTGCAGTCAAAATGGGTGTAAATTGGATTTAAACTTGTACTTATATTAAAATTCCCGTCAAGTTTTTGTTACTGTAGCGAATTGATATATGTGAGTTAAAAGGTGATTGAAAAATGTGTTCATGAGAAATGTGATTGGAAAATGGGTGTAGTTGATTCACGGAAAAAGGTAATTGTTCAAAGAAAAATTGCTGTCCAAACAAGGCCTAAGACTTCCAATGACAAAATCCTAAAGAAAGCATTCCTCCATTCCTTTCATCAGTGTATACTCTGATAATCTTATTCTTGAAGGGTCCAAATTAAATCCAATTTTCTTCCATCTATCTGTCATGTTGCAGGCAATTCATGTGCCTTCTCTTCCCGAAAAGAATTTTGACTTTTGGAACAATTCGACTTTCAAGTCTTGATCTTTCCACGCGCGTGCAGGAGCAAAAGAAATTAAAAAAAAATTCTTGATCTTCCAGAATTCCAAAAGATGCCTAATCTTGATCATGTAACACGGCAGGAGTTTTACCCTTTATACATAATCAGTGGAAACTTTCAGACTTTTGGTTAAAGAAATTCATTACATGATACAAAGTAAGGATATGGTAGAATTGAAGACAGAGTTGGCACAAGACTTTACCATCATATTAGATACAACATTAATTTATGTAGTGTTTGCATGTGCTTTTTGTCTAATTGGAAGAATTATATGCTTAATAAGATTCTTGCACGCAATCTAATACTGGAAATTTGGCTAAATCAGGTATCATAAAAAAAGAAAGAAACACCAACACATTAGGAAAATGAGAAGATTACGGTCCGTAACTTGGTTGCAAGTGACGAACACAATCAGACCGTAGATTATATTCAATGAAAAAGGCATACCAGTTTGTCCGACAACGATGCCTCAATTAAGATAAATCAAATTTGTTCAGTGCAATGGCGACCTACATTGACTAGGTAGCTGGTTCCAAATGAAAACATGCTGCCCATTCAAGGAAAGTGAAGCCAAGGGATCTGCTATCGAATTTGGTTCTCGAAAGACATGAGCAACTGACACATGAAGCTGTTATAGAAGAGATCGAAATTTTGCCAACAGATTGCATAAAGGCCATTTTGCACCCACCGAATAACTAAGATGCACTCGAATTTGCGAATCAGCGTCCAGACATTTCTCTAGAAAAATTCCAACTCCACGTGTTTTCCAAAATCAGAAACCATTCAAAACATGAGTTTACAGCTACAGATCTACATAGTAGAAATAGCTGCCTCGAGCGCTACCAAGCTCCCCTCTCTTCACCTGAAACAAACGAAGGGACCCGCTGCTGCCCTCAGAGCCATTGCATTAGTTGCAGAAAAGGTTGGAATCTTAATTTCCTTTTGAAGTTTCATAATCTGCTTTGCGTTTAGTTCTTTAACTCTAATCTCCATTTCTTAGTGGATGTGATAGTGGTAGTAATAGTGATGATTTGAAGTTTTTCTCTGATGAATGCAGATACAATCATGTTAATACTTCCCAAATTCACTTCAGTGATGTGATAGAAACAAAAATATGCCAGGAGTATTCAAAACTAAAATTGAAACCAAATAAGAAATGCAATGGAAATTGCACATTGCGCCCGTATTGTTAATTGCATAAAAGGAAAAGTTTTTCCATGATCTAATCTAAAAAGTGACTAGGAAGGAATGAACTGAAAAAGGAGGACGAATGTCACCTCAAATGTTGAAAAATTCTTGAACATGTAATTTGCAAATGCAAGGCAAGAAGTATGATGTGGCTAGCACTTTTTCGATAGGATCCTTGGAGTAGGCAAATCCTATGTTTTGCAAAGTTGGCCATGAACATGGAGAAAAATTCTGAAAGAGAAACAAGAACTAAAGAGTAAGTTGACAAAATTATCATCAAGAAGCTGGGATCATATGCACAGCAAATGATGCTCCCGTTATTTGAGGCACTGGAGCATTCCAAGAAAATGAATCTAACAGAAGAACGTACCTTTACGCCCCCGAGGTCAAGCTCTTGCGACTGACAAGCAAGATTCAATATAGAATTAGCTCACTATTGAAAGCTATGCAGTTTATATCAGAAACCTTAGGGCCATTCTTTCCCTTCCTTTCTCTTATTATATGGTAATTTGGACAATGAAAACCATATTTTTCATGCATAGTGGAAGCAGGGGAGGACACCAACAACTCTTTTTTTAGCGACTAGAGCTAAGAGCAGTCAGCAATTTCCATATCTTCAAGATAGATGAAGTGTTGAAGACACTTGTAGGTCATTGTTCTTCAGCTCTTATGCTGCTCCAAGTGAAAGATGGCGGGGGTGAAAGACAGGAGCCAGTATTATGGAAGTGACTCTTTTTTTGTCAGTGCCACTAATATTGCAGTCTGACCAAGAAGGGAAACTCTGCAATATCCTCCATCAAAAGGATATGGTTGCAGTCTGGAGGCAACACCTAGCTCAAAAGCTCTCAGTTACATGATGTTGCCACATTTTTCAACATAAAGATGTGAGGAGGGCTTGCATCTTTCCAAGCAGCGAACTAAGCTCCTTGCAATACGTACTTCTGAAAAGAGGCATTAAATGATCATGGTCTCAATTCTACAAAGAATTGTAAACAATGATTTGTCTTTCAAATTTTTACATAATTCCTATGTAGAAAGTAGGAAGAGAAAGAGCAGGAAAGGCAACCACGGATGATCCCCCACTTACTGGTGGGCAAATGCCATCTTTGAGTATCAACTTTTTTTTCAAGAAGCGTGCTTGAATTACAAAAATTCATTCCAATTCATCAAAGGTCTACAGGGATATATGAAAATATTTACAATGAATACAAAGTGCAACATACCTAGAATATCTTGTTGCATAGGATAATATGAAAACATCAGAAGTAGAGCAGAGCATTAGAGTGGATTATGCAGCAAATACATAACTAAAGAAGCTATACCAGAGATAGAGTGCAGTCAATTGTACTCCATGAAGAACAACATACAAGGGGAAGAGATATTAGAAACCACTTCAAATTAGTTGCCTTTCTTCTTTTTCAGAAAAAATGATTATGCAGTAGTTATTGCTTCCTTTCTGTTTTTTATTACTAAGGGCTAAAATAAGTGAGCAGTTTGAATTTATTCACCTTTCTGTTTATTCAGAATTGTTGATGGTTATTGTCAAAAATGTACTCATCTGATGTTTATACCCTTTTTGAGTAGAAAGATCTTAGAAAGTTGAAATTTAGACATCAGCTAGACAAATACAAGGTGAAGATAAAAACGAAATTAAGTCATAATTGTCATCAGCACAAATATCCATCACTGGTTTTCTGCTCATTTTGTTTTTGCACCCCTTTCTACTCTCCAAATTAATTTGATGAACTCTTCATCTATTTAGGATCAAACACAAAGAAATATCCAGCAATGGTGCCTTATACATATCTAATGCTACCACGTCAAAAAGGGTCAATACCATTGAAACCAACAACAGGCACCTAAGCCTGGTGAGCTTCTGATTCACACTACTTTTCATATGAATAGAAATATTATTTTTATGTGTACCTTGAATTGCTTGAATAACACAGCATAAATCCCATTAGCTGTGTTATCTCTCATCTCATGTCTAAACCAGTGATTCCCAACCAACATACAGCACCCAAGTCTAGACTATATTTTGAGGGGGATATGCAATTCTAGATCTAAAAACCTTACCATAATGCAATGAATAATAACAGCATGATGTTGTGGCCTGAAAAACATATATGCATGACAGGTTCTAGCTTGCGATATTCTGGTTGATGGTTTCCACACTTGTCTGTTTGCTGTATGAAAAACCAAGGAAGTTAAAGATATGTGGAAGTAAACCGCATCTTACCATAAAAAATTGTTCAATTAACCAGAAAATTAACCTCAAAATAAAAATGAAATTTGCAAAAGAAAGCGCTGGAATAGTTTAAAATAGGCATAATAGGTACGGAAGTATTTAGTTTAGTGAATCTTAGAGAAGATGTCCTGCAATAGCATAATGATGAAGAAAGAAATACAGGAAATTCAGGAATTAACAGAAAAAGGAAAATAACAAACCTTCAAAGATGCCATCAAAAACAAATACTCGTATAGAATGGGTGCATAACAGTTCCCCTAATAGGAATTGAATATAATATGCGAAATATTTACATTATATTGTACTGTGTAGTGTTCAAAACATTTTTAAGAGTTACCATAACTATGGCATAGAGGAAGAACAGATCTTGATGTTAGGGAAACAAACTAAAATGCCAATGAACCAAAAATAATAATAATTGTAATGTAAACTGAAAGTGCATGACTGACCGCAGGATAAGTTTATCATCGACATGCTTGAAATATGAGCTACCTTGTTCTAATCTTCTTCCTTTCTCTACACTAAAAATAATGTCAACAACTCTGCAATGGCCGTCATTCTATAAATATTAATCTATTGCAAAGATGGAGGTCACCACCCCCATTTTGCAATGGCTGAAGATAGATCAATGATGATCCTTAAAGTATTGAGAAAGGTGTATCACCTCGACTGGGAGAGAGCAGCCCACGTCCTGGCAGATACATCAAATTTTGACAAGATTAGAGTACTTTAAAATTGCTCTTGAAGAAGCAAATTGTGTTCGATTATAGTTTAAGCAGAATTAAAGGATTATAAAACAATTACATTAACAAGTCAAGCAAAATAAGCTTATAGCTTCAAACAAAAAATTATTGAGTGTATCAAAGAAAGCACAGAAAACATTAAGAAAGTTTAAGAACAGCCTAATTATTGTAGGTTTCCGTTGGGATACGGGGCAGGAGCGGTCGTCAGGCCGACCGCTCCTGAATGGTCCCCTCACAAGACCGAACGTGTGGCGAGAAATGGTCCAAGCCAGCAAGCCTTCAGGTGAGACCAAAACGACATCGTTCTATTAACTGAGAAGGGAAAAAAATTTTGAAAACGCATCTGGGATAACGGCAAGTAACGGAACGGCAGCAACGTTGGTAAGCGTCCTCCCGCCCAAAATGAAATGTCGAAAATGAAGAGGCCCACTTAAGACTCTCTCCCAAACGAACGAAGCAGTTGCTGAAATCCACAACTGTAAAAAACTAGGGCAATAGACGAGAGGAGAAATAACAGAGAAAAAGAGGAGATTGGCAAGAACAGTGTGACATTGGAGTCAAGCTGTGGAACTGCGGCATTGTTGAAGGCTGAGCAGAGGAAGCAGAAGGAAGAAGTGATGGCAGAAGGCCAATTTTGTTGCGAATCGGGTTTAGTAAAAGAAGAAGAAAGGTGAACCCAAGTTACAAAGTTGAAGATCGTGGGATCTTGAGTAGTGAAAGACCACAAATCGTAAAGGTAAAACATGTTGGAAGCCTGGGATGATACAATAATGTGTGTAATTTATACTTCAAAGTGGAAGGACCTTACTTGTGGATGTTTTTGGTGCACACTATGACGTTTTTGTGTATAGTAAGTAAAAAAGTTCAGCGTGATAGGAGTGTTATGTAAAATTGTCTGTGATCGTCGAAACAGGAGAGTAGGAAAGGAGGGGAAAATCTTGCGGCACAACTGCTTGATAAAATGTGTGCATGGGTTTGGGATTTCGTAGGTGTAAAAAATGGGTGTAGATGCTGAATTGCGATATGTTGAGTAGATAGTACAATGTGTTGAGTGTATCATACATTGCGAAACCAAATAGTGACAAGATAGCTCAGTGCAAGGAAGGGTCATATAGCACGTTGGCTGAAAATTATGTTATGTGGAAAAAAAGTGACATGAAGAAACATTGATACGGTGTGTTAAAGTGTAAAACATTAACATAAGAAAGTCAACACTTATGAGATGTAGTACATAGTATAAGGAAAAGGTCTAGAAAATAACAAAGGGTAGAGGAGAAGGACAGATTAGAAATGTTAGTCTGAGATTGGTATGTTGTATTTGAGATTTCATTGGTGTATATCTAGTGTATCAGTTGATGTGCATGAACACAATGTTGGATAAGTTTTACATGTTGTGGACTAACAGGCACAGAGAAGTAAAGAGTAGAAATGTTCGTGTAAAATTGGTACGTCTCATTTTGTGATCTTCATTAGTGTATCTGTTCTATTAGTTCACGTGCATGAACACAATGTTGGATAAGTCTTACATGTTGTTGGATAAATGTTACATGATGTGGCTTAATAGGTACATGACAGAAAGAAAAGAGAAATGTTAAGACTGAAATTTGAATGGCGTATTTGGGATTGCATTGATGTATGTTTATTGTATTAATTGTTGTGCATGAACAAAATGTTGGATAGATGCTACCTAGTGTTGGATAACTGTTACATGGTGTGTATTAGCAGGTACCGCTCAGAAAGAGAAGAGAAATGTTAGATTAAAATTTGAATGTCGTACTTGGGACTACATTGATGTATGTTTGTTGTGTTAGTTCTTGTGCATGAACAAAGTGATGGATAAGTGGTACATGGTGTTGGATAAATGTTATATGCTGTGGATTAGCAGGTACCTTCCAGAAAGAGAAGAGAATTGTTACATTGAAATTGGAATGTCGTATTTGGGACTGCATTGATGTATGTTAGATTGTATTAGTTATTGTGCATGAATACAATGTTGGATAAATGTTACATGGTGTGGATTAACAAGTACATAGAAGAAACAGAGTAGAAATGTTAGCGTGTAACTGGTATGTCGTATTTGAGACTTTGGCGGTATATGTTTATTGTATTTGTTGTTATGCATGAACAGGATGGCATGGAAAAGAAGCGAAAGACGAAACAAGAGTTTAGGCGAAAATGAAGGAATAGAGGCAGCGGGAACAAGTGAAGTCAGACAACCAGTTCCACCGTTGAATGCGTGGATGAAGTTTAGGTAATATTGATGTTTATTGAAAATAATAATCATGAGTAGAATGCACAGCTAATTAGTTAATATTTAATGTGTGTAGGAAGGAGTATCAAAGCATCGTTCCAGCAAAAGGCATTAAGATAACAGAGGTATGCATTAAGAACTAAATAAAGCATTAATGAGGAAAGTTGTTGCGCGGTAAAAGTAAAAAACACAATTAGAAAAGGGTTAATATCGGAAACCTCCCTCGAGGTTTCTTCTAATCACACCTAGCACCCTCCATGTGTTCGAATTCACACTTAGCACCCCTGCAATGACAACTTTGGTCTCATTGTCAGCCCATCTATTTCAAAATGATAGAAAAAAAAATGAATTGTAGGATAGAGGCTTTATTTTTGTTCCATCTGTACCCATAGCCCAAAACGAGTTTATTTCGTAGTAACAAAACAGGTGTAAATCTTGTTTTTTAGTATATGTAAATGATCATCTAATAAATAATAGGATCCATTAGGGTTGTAACACAATTACATATTTTCATACACCATGGAGTATGATGATATGTATCGTTTGGAGGGATGCGAGGTAGGGAAGGTTGTTAGATCAATCATCCTTGAATAGTGTAACACGTTTTGAACATTCTGTAATTTTATGTAAGTTTCTTGTATATCTTTACAATAGATTGCGTCTCTACTAAATAATTCACGTAGAGTTACACATTGTTTAAAAAATGTTACATTGATCCGAACGGAGATAAAAAATATAAGTATGGATTCTCATAATGGCAGCAATAGTTTCAGAATGTGGTTGTAGTTGTAAATAAACTTGCTCTTCCATATTTGAAAAAATGCGGGCATATAAATAGCTTTTTTCTGCATTCTAGTCGAATGGAGTTTGTAAATTATTAATATTGCAATTCTCAGTGTCTAGATTATTGCTTGTAGACGGTGTTTTGGAAACATATGAATTGCGATACCCCATAGTATAGTAGAAATGGCTCGCTTGAGGTATGTACTCATGAATTCCCATCATCTTTGAACTACTTTTAGATTGTGTTATTATGCAGTTACGAATTGCGATTTTGGCAATAGCACTATGTCCATTGCCAAAAATTAAAATTACTAGAAACGCCATGACTAATTAATATTAGGGAGGGGGATAGGAACAGTTGTTAGATCAATCATCCCTAAATAGTGTAACATTTATTGATCATTTTGTAATTTTGTGTAAACTTCTTGTACATCCTTGCAAAAGAAGTGTGATAAGTTGTTAGTGTAGATATGGGTCCAGTATGTAATAATCGTATTTGTGTTGATAAGTTTTACAGATAGTTCAATTAGAGTTACATTTTGTACAAAGAATATTACATAATTCAGAACAGTTATCAGCAGTTTGCCAAAAGAAATTTTTGAATTTTTTTAATCTTTTTTGGCATGCAGTTTTCTTCTTAGTTCTTGTAGTGGAGTATTGGTCTCCGTATGCTGCATCGATTGTTTTTCAATTATGGCCGTTCAACTTTGATTACGGTATAACATTACTTATTCGAATTTCTTTTTGTCTTTGAACGAGTTAAGGTTGTTTGTGGCATGGGATAGATGTTGGTGATTTTTGGATAATTTCTCACCTTTTGATTCGGAGAACCTGTCACATCCTACTGCCGGAAGTGGTATGTGTGATTTGAAAAACTTGGGGGGTGGTAGATGTGATTAGAATAAACATTAGAGGAGGTTTCTGATATTAATCTGTGTTAGAAAATGCTGGTTTACATATAACATGATTCGCGATTAAATGCATCCAATGCAGTATAATAAAATGGCAAAAGCAGCATATGATCAGTTGAGCGAGGAAGAAGTCCAGAATCGAAAAAAGAACTATCGGAAAGAGAAAGAATAGTACAAGAGAGAAATGGCGCGGTTTGGAAAGACTATACCGCGAAAACAGCAGATTAAGGTAAGCACAAAGCATGGCTGCTGATTTTGGTTGTTACATGATAATCTGTGTATGTCTAACTAGTTTTTCTGCTTGAACTTGATTATAGAATCCGAAGT